CTCCATTAAATCTGAAAAGAGGAAAAGGTATGTTTAAAACAATGCATAATTTTTGATTTCCTGATAACCTTTTGGTCCATTTAAAAATATCTCATATTTTCTCCCACATCCTACGATAGACCTTCTCCCTTGTTACAAGATAGTAACAAAATTTTGATATATGCTCATAACGAAATTATCTCAAAATTTTTCTTTAACACTGGCTTCTAACATTGGTTGTTGATTGAGAGAAAAAGTAAATAGTTTTCACTGAATCTTCATATTTTTAGTATGGCACCCCTATCCTTAACTAGACTTTACTCTCTTCAGGGAATCATCCTGAGCCTTCTTTCTTGCCTGAGCCAGAAGGGACAGTTACTTAGGAACTAAGGAATGGTGATCTAACTGCTTCTGAAATAGACTTTTAATCAATTATTCTGCTTTTAGTCCCAATTTAACCCCTGCTTCTTGAGGTACCTGGTGTTCCCCATCCTTGAGCCTTTTGGTGGTTCTCTGCGGGGAAATCAGGCTTGCTCTTGGCTTGTCCTTTGACAGATGATGAGTCTGCTAAGATTTCCCACAATTCTTTTGCTTTCCAGCTTCCAAAATGTTCATGATTTTATCTCCTATTCTGTTTTCTGAGAGACAAACAGATAATGGCTAGACCATAAATGACAATAGAACTCTGACCCATAACCTTTGCAGCCACCAGCCTGGGAAGCCAAACCACTGCCTCTGAGACAACCAGCTCAGAATGGTCTGAACTGAGTCACCTTCCTCATATTTTGCCCCCACTTTCAGCACAGGACCAATCAGAGAAAACCAGTCCAATAGCATAAGCCTGGCTTCTAGTTAGCACACCTCTAGCTTCCCCATGACAGTGACCTCCAATCAGAGCATATCTGAGGCCTTCTCTCTTTTTTTTTCTTTTTTTCACTATAAAGTTTTCGCACTCCTCTGCCTGAGTCCTTTGAGTCTCTGCCAAACACAAGTGATGGTGGCTGACTCCCTACGACAACAAGCTCTGAATAAATAGCTTCTGTTTGTTCTCGTTTGGGTGGTCTTGTCTTTTTTAGATTGAAGTTTTGTGTTTTTCTCATTTTTTTTTGAAGGCATTTCAGGAGGAAGTGGAGTTAAATGTGGACCAATCCATCATCTTTAACTGGTGGTCTTTTCCTGTGTGCTCTTTTCTCTGTGACTTAGATGTCAGCAATCCATCCTTTCCCCTCCAGCTCCAGAAAGCCTAGAAATAACCTTTGTCTGTTCCTCTTGCAACCTGTATGTAAAATTTAACACCTATTCATATTCTAAAGAATCTATTGGAATAAAAGCATTAGAGAATAATAAGACTTTGGTGAACCTTACCTACGATGGATGAGGTTGTATAATATGCATATACCCCATAGCAAAGAACTTAAACTTAACTCCCCAAACATTTTAAACATTTCTTTCTCCCCTCAAGTCTGTCGTCTGAGATGACTTTGTCTTTTTCCCAGGAAGTTTGGATCCTTGCTGACTCCTTCATCTCTAATTGATTCCCCTAAATCTTCTAAATCTTCACCTCTTTGCCCTACAAAGCAGTTCAGCTCAGCCTCCAATCACATCACTCACAGCAGAACAAATGCTGATTCACCAGCCTTTCAAACCCTATTGTTAGGTTAACGTGTCTCACTGGAGATGTGTGTGTCTCACTCTCATTCTAAGGAGCCTTCATGAATTTCTTCAAAACGAATACAGACATCTGTTCCCAAGAAGTAGTCTCATTCCAGCTCCTTAGGAGAAAAAAAAGTTCTCTATATCTCTAAACCACCAAAAAATATACCTTTTCTCACTTACTAACAGTCTTTTTGTTTCCAACTAGCTTGCAAGCTTCTTGAGTGAATAGCTACATATTTTTATAATCTGTACTGTACCTAATAGTATTTTAAAAGTTTATGGATCAGTGAACAGAAAGGATGGATAGAATTTCAATGAAAGGAAATAGGTTTTTCAGAAAGAGCCTCTTTAGTGGGTCCTCTAAGTTTTGACCTTATCTTCAACACAGTAAACAAGCAAATAAGGTGTCATATTAAAAATCTTTATGGTGTATCTTCCATGCTGAACACTCTATTCAACAGGTTTTAGTTCTGTGTGGCATGCATTCATTATTAAAACCTTTCTTTTCCTGTATCAGTTAGGGATTGCTACAATATCATATAGTGTTACTGCCTACAGTGGGATGGGGTTCTACGTCACACTTCACTATCGTGGTTTAAAAAAATTAGTTTATTTTCACATGTAAAAGAAGTCCAGAGGTAGGTAGTTCAGGGTTAGTATGGAAACTACAGAAGGCATAAAGGATCCAGGCGTCTTCTTTCTCTCTACTCTACTTTCCTAAGCATCTGCAGTCTCAGAGAACTGTTGGAGCGCCAGCCATCAGGCCCTAGTCTTAGCAATAAATAAGTGGAAAGGCAACAATAAAAAAGTGAAAAAGGCCTATGGCAGTTGTCTGCATCCATTTTTAGAACTTTGCCTGAAGTCCAATGCAAAAACTTTTGTTTACACCTCGTTGGCCAGAAATTAGTCATATGGCCATACCTATTCCCAATGGAGACAAAAAATGTAAGTGCAGTTTTTAATGCGCCCCTGCCCCCGAACAGAAGGAGAGAATGGATATTGAGTAGGCCACTAGCACTTCCTGCCACAGTTCCTCTGGAATTTTCTGTACATGATATCCCAGTGCTTGGCATTAAGTTGTCTTTGGAATTAGTGAATAAATGAATAAAACATTTTTAGATAAATAGAGCAGTTCATGGTGTGAACTTTTTTTTTACTTTATTTCTAGAGCAGTTTTAGGTTTACAGAAAATTTAAACAGAAAGTACAGAGAGTTCCTATATACCACCCCAGTTTCCCTTATTATTAACATCCTGCACTGGTGTGGTACCTTTGTTACAATTGATAAACCAATATGGATACCTTATTACTAACTGAAGTCCATAGTTTATTTTAGGGTTTCCTCTTTGTGTTGCACAGTTCTATCGGTTCTGACACATCGCATAATGTCATGTGTCCACTACTACAATATCATATAGTGCCACTACTACAATATCATATAGTGTCACTGCCCTAAAAATCCTGTGTGCTCCACCTATGCATCCCTCCCTTCCTCCTCGGAAACCTCTGATCTTTTTACTGTCACCATAGTTTTGCCCTTTCCAGAATGACATATAGTTGGAATCATACAGTTATACACCCTTCTCAGACTGGTTTCTTTCACTTAGCAACATGCGTTTACATTTCCTCCATGTCTTTTTGTGGCTTGATAGCGTATTTCTTTTTATCACTGAATAATATGTCATTTTATGGATGTACCACAGTTTGGTTATCAATTCACCTATTGAAGGGCATCTTGGTTGCTTTCAATTTATTACTAAAGCTGTTATAAACATTTCTGCAGGTTTTTGTATGGACTTAAGCTTTCAACTCATTTAGATAAATACCTAAGAACATGAATCTGGATTGTATAGTAGAACTATGTTTAGTTTTATTAAGAAACTGACAAAATGTCTTCAGAAGTGACTGTACGAGCTGCATTCCCATTCTGCGATGAGAGTTCCTATTGCTCCACATCCTCGTCAGCATTTGGTATTGTCAGTGTTTGGATTTTAGCCATTCTAACGGAATTTAGCCATTCAATGATACTGTTATCTCATTGTTGTTTTATTTTGCAATTCCCTAATAATATATAATGTTGAACATCTTTTCATATGCTATTTGAATATCGTATATCTTTTTTGGTGTGGTATCTATTTAGATATTTTGTTTACTTTTTAATTGGGCTATTGAGTTTCAAAAGTTCTTTGTGTAGTCTGGATAACAAATCTTTATTACATATATATTTTGCAGGTATTTCCACCTAGTCTGTGGCTTGTCTTTTCATTGTCTTATCTAATCAATTTTTTTTGGTATAAAGTCGTTCATCATATTTTCTTGTTTCTTAAACCTCTGCTATATTTTATGATATCCTCCTTTTTAGTCCTAGTATTAATTTGTTGCTATTTCTCTTTTATCTGGATCAATTTCACAGGACTTTGTTTTATTACTCTTCTCAAAGATTTATTATTGATTTCTAACTTAATTGTAATATGGTCAGAGAATGAGAGCAGTTCTTTTGCAATTTGTAGAAAGTTGCTTCAGTGGCCTAAATCGAAACTAATTTATGTTTCAAAAGTATATGTGTTCTCAAAATGCTGGGTACAGAGTTCTATACATGTTCTTTAGACAATGTTAATAGTATTGAAGACATTTCTGCAATGACTAGTGATTCTTGGATGTCTTCGTATTTAAGAGTGCTATAGAGTGAATGTTTTATGTCTTCTCTAAATTCATATGTTGAAAACTGAATACTAATATAATGGTATCAGGAGGTGGAGGACTTGGGGGTGATTAGGACACGAGGGGGGAGCTCTCATGAATGGGATTAGTGCCTTATAAAAGAGGCCCAAGAGAGCACACTACCACTTTGGCCAAGTGAGGACACAGTGAAAAAGAGAGCTGTCTATAAACCAGGAGGCAACCACTTACCAGACAATAAATCTGTCAACACCTTGGTCATGGACTTTCTAGCCTCCAGAACTGTAAGAAATAAACTTCTGTTGCTTATAAGCCATCCAATAAATGGTATTTTGTTATAAACAGCCCAAATGGACTAAAACAAAGAATGAGGTACTAAAAAGCTGGTTGGAAAATCTTTACGCACAGAAGGGACTTGTTGACTGGGCCTTCAATGTAGGGTGATTGCTCATGGATGCAGACAGTTCATTATGGGATCCTCGAAATGTCAATATTCTGCCATTTTAATCTAATTTGTTTTCTAAAATTATATTGACATTTGTCTGCCATTATCTTCTCTCCTGTTCTTTTTCTTTGGGTTTGTAAACTTTTCCCTTCCTTTCATTAGAAAAAATTTTTTATTGAAGTTTACATTCATTCAGAAAAGTGCCCACAAATATGCAATCTGAACACACATGTAAACGAGCACTCAGATGAAGAAATAGAACATTATCGGCATTTCGTGAGCCTCCCCATGTTCTCTTCCAGAGTCATTACTCCAAGTGTAAGGACTACATTGACTTCTAACAGCATGGATATTTGAGTAATTTCCAGTTTGGGGCTATTGTAAAGTACGGGTAGGAACTTTATACATGGCCTTTTAGTGAGCATATGTACACATTTCTGTTGGATATACACCTAGGAGTGAAATTGTTAGGACTAAGACTATGCATATATTCGGCTTTAGCTTATACTGCCAAACTGTTTAACAAAGTGATAGTACCAATTTATGTTCCTTTCAGCAGCATATTAGAGTTCTAGTTGCTCCACAATCTTGCCAAGATTTGGTATTTTCTGTCTTTTTCATTTTAGCCTTTCTGGTGGGTATGTAACGGTATCTCATTATGATTTTAATTTGCATTTACTCTTTACTATTTGCTTTTTATGTGTTTCAAGATAGAGCAGATTAAAATGCAGGGTATTAATCTTCTTTATCTACCAGAAATTTTCCCTTTACGGATACTTTTCTAATGGAACTTAGAACCTTCCTCTTGTACTGGAGGTAATGTAATGCAGAGGGTGAGGGCAACAAGCTTTGCAATCAGATATACTGAGGTTTGATTCCCAGCTCCACTGCTTACTTGTTATTTTATTTAACTTTTCTCAATTTTATGTAAAATGGCACTAATAATACTACTGGCTCACCAGGTTATTATGAAGATTAAATGATAAAATATGTAAAGTGTTTTGCAAAGTTCTTAGCACACTGTGATCACATAGTCAACAAATGGCAGTTATCTCTTATAGTTTATGCACATCTTTTTTCTTCTGATTTACACATTCTTTGATAAAGCAATAGCACATAGTTACATGTTAGCTGCCTCAAATATAATAGTTGCTGATAAAAGTGGCTGAATGAACGATTTTAAACAGAAGGTATTGTTACGTTAAGATGTCGTAAATTATAATGACTATAGTACAAAATACACTGCTAATGAGTAATACATTATTATTTTTAGTAGTAGTAATACATTATTTAGACAAGTGTCTCTCCTGTTTACGTTCATCATTTAACTGTTAAAATTATTGCAGTTCAGAAACACTACTGGAGCTGATTAGTAATGATGACAATTAGATGTCCCACATTGCATTTGTGAGGGTTCCAGAGGTTTCTCCCTTCAAATCCCAAACTAAAACAAACAAAATTACCACGCCATAAAACAAAACCACCACTTTTCTGAAGAGACGTTAAGCCTTTCAAACAGACCCTTTGTTCAGCAGCGGAAAACCGGAGAGGCAAGAGCTGCCCCAGCAGCTTCCGTACAAGATGGCGCCGCCCATTTGTACAACCCAGCTGAGATTACGTCTTCCTAGCCCGTCGCAGGACCGGAAGTGGTTTCGGCCCCAGTGGATCCGGGTGGGTGCGCGCAGGTGGCTGCAGAGGTTCCAGTTCTTCAGCGTGCGGTGCCGCAGGTGTTCGAGTGGTATCTGAACCGCAGGTAAGTCAGGATCAGGGGTCGGCGAGGCCTTTCACCTGGCTTGTGCGAGGGGCGGACGGGGTTGCCAATGCAGCTTGAGGAGAGGGGACGTGGAGCTGGTAATGTCACCATGTGCGGGGGTGACTGATTGCGTGAACCCAGCAGTCCCAGGGCAACTTGGCCCTGCCCCTCTCCCCGCCCCCCCGGCGCGGCCTCCTGGCGCTGCTGGTCCGCGGCGGGGGTGGTTGAGAACCCAGGTGCGCGGCCCCCCCGCGCCGTCCCCAGACAGTCCCATCGTATCCCCTTATCCTCCTTACGAGCACCAACCAAACCTTCGTGGCTTCTTGACCCAGTAAAAAGGAAGCAGCGCGCGCAGCACCTGGCACCTCCTTGGGTGCTGCCTGTTCCACGCGTCCAGTTACAGTTCCCTCCCCTTGATTCATGGGGACCTACCCCCGCCTCCCTTTGTTACCACCCCTTTCTTCACATGCCACACCCGCTGCTTTGGGCCTTGTTGGAAGACACCTTTTTTTTTTTTTTTTTAATCCCCAAACCTTGGAGTAGATCAAAAAACTAGAATGTTAATGATTATTTATTACAAAATTGATGCCTGCTCATTGAAATATAAACAAACCCAAACCTTTGTAAGCTTTCGATGTACTATTGGACGTAAACGAGCTCCCTTAGATACCCACTGCAAACACTAAATTATACCATATTTTTTTTTAGTCATATTATAAGGACACTGAAAGGTTTTGTTAATTATCAGAATTAGAAAGTGCAGGAGAAAAAGTTTAATAGGGGTAAGGAATGATTACTTTTTGTCAAGTTGAGCTTGTTTTAAAAATGCATGTGTTCTTTTATATTTATTTTAGTCGTAGTCCATGCATACAATCTTGTAAAACATTCATGTAAAAAATTTAAACAAAATAGATTCTCTTTGACCTTTTTTCACTTCCATTTTTTCTTCTTTAGGCTCTTGCCACAAAATAAGGACTGTTATCCGTTAAGGGGTGTGTTTTTCTATTTCTTTTTCTTTACATTTATTGACAAGTGTTTGTACGTACAAGATTTATTCGTGTTAAACTTACAAAAGTGTATTTTACAAATATGGTTAATTCTACCTATTCAGCAACTTTTTGTGCTTAAAAATGGGTCTTAGAACTTCTTCAATAGGTAGCGATCTACCTTATTCTTTCTATTTGCTCTATAAATTCCATAGTATGTTAAGATTCCGTGGTATGTGAGATTCCATAGATTGCTTAGTTTTTCACCGTCAGACTGTTTTCACTGTGGCATAGAAAAGCCTTCCACGTCCCTCCAGTGTGCTCCTGTGAGCAAGTCTCAAGAGTAGAGACCGCAGGTGGAATTGCTAGATGGCAGGATGTGGACATTTTAATGTGAAACTAGTTACTAGTTAGATTATTGTTTCATGGTTGTTAGCTATTTGTATTTCCTCTCTTGAGAAATGTCTCATTTCTATTGGGTTATCTTTTTATATATAGCAGTGTTTTAATATTTTGGATATTAATCTTTCATTATGTATATATTATAAAACATATATATTATGTTTTATATATTACCAACTTAGTGCTTTTTAAAGTTGTTGCTTGTCTTTTAGCCATATGGCATTTTTGTTGAACCAAAGTTAAAAATTTTACATTTAAGTATATCAGTCTTTTACGTGTGTATTTTGTATTTTCTGGCTCTCATTCCCTACTCCAATGGTTCTCAAATAGGAGATATTTTGCCTTCTAGGGACCATTTGGCAATGTCAGGAGACATTTTTTGGTTGTCCATTGGGGTGGTGAGTGCTACTGGCATCTAGTGGGTAGAAGCTAGGAATGCTGCTGAACATCCTACAGTATACAGGATAGCCCTCCACAACAAGGAATACTTTTGGCCTAAAACATTACTAGTTCTGAGGTTGAAAAACTCTACTCTACCCCGAGACAAAGCAGGGTTTTCTCTTATAAATGATGAGTGCATAATTATTATTTTCCAAACAGTGTCACTCTGAATAATATTTAGTCCAGTCTTGACCTCATTAATCTCAAATGCCACATTTATCATGTATTGATTTCTCACACTCACAAAGTCTATTTCTAAACTCCTGTTCTATGGCCTAACTTCCTTCCCTCTTCCCTCCCTTTCTTCCTCCCTTCCTTCCTCCCTTCTTCCCTTCCTTCCTCCCTTATTCCCTTCCTTCCTCCCTTCTTCCCTTCCTTCCTCCCTCCCTCCCTTCCTCCCTCCCTCCCTTTCTTCCTTCCTTCCTTCCTTCCTTCCTTCCTTCCTTCCTTCCTTCCTTCCTTCCTTCCTTCCTTCCTTCCTTCCTTCCTTCCTTCCTTCCTTCCTTCCTTCCTTCCTTCCTTCCTTCCTTCCTTCCTTCCTTCCTTCCTTCCGTGCTGCTGTGTTCCTAAGAGGCCACCAACCGTACTTTAGAAAAGAACAGTTGTAATAAGTTAAACTGATCTGCTCAGATGGCTGTTTTTTTTTAGAAGAATTGCCTTTCTGAAATTTGCATTTCAGAAGATGGCCCAGATAATTGTTCTTGGAGAAGACCAAGTGTTCATATCTCAAAGGTATAATGAAAGAAATGCAAGCTTCTTCTGAAAGGACTTTGGTTTCCTAAAGCCAATATTTGTCAGCCTTTTGAGGTGAATAGGGGAGGTTTTGAGATGGTAAAATGAATTGATGGGTTTTGAATAGTTTCTGTAGCCACACCTCTGGTCCTATAAAGACTTCATTTGTAAAGCAAGGACAGCTGTTTTTAATACCTCAAGAATTGGGTCACCACCTAAATGGTGGCAAAAGACTGACAAATCTATCCACCCATTGCTGGAATATTTCTTTACCTCTCAGTACATTTTTTTACCAGGCTCTGACATTTGCTTCCAATTTGGCCAAATTTCTGATAAAATAAAATTATTAAATCTTTTCAAATATCTTGTCAGATTTCAGCTGGGACAAACAGTACATATTTCTGGTGGTATTAAACAACCCCAACGGGGTGCAGAGGTTACTACTCCCCAAGATCCAGAGCCGCTGCCAAAGACAGCCAAAAGCAATTGGTCTGCAGGTGGAAAGGAAGAGACAATGTGAAATTTTATTTCCCCCTCTCTTTGGCCTCTGGATGTAATGCATTTAGAAAAACTTTTGAGGGTCCTCCCTGGGTTTAAGACATTCTGATTAATGCTCTTAGGTCTTTGACCTAGAAGTGAAAATTACCCCAGAAAGATCTGTAGCCTCAGGTGGTTTTATTTTAAAAAGGTAACTGTTCAATAGTCTTTTTAGAGTGGAAAGGCAGTTCAGACAGAGGGGTATTATTAGAATGAGTACTGAAATAGAGGATAGGGTGGAACAATAATAGTTAAGTTTGTCCTATGGTCTCTTGTCTTAGGTACCGCTTATGTTTTTAATTTTTCATTAGCCTTTTTAAATAAATCTTTCTGTGAAGCTACTTAGAAATTTTGAAAACTTTGGTGAACTTCTGCATGCCAATTAAAATATGTATCTCATTCTATTTGCTCAATTTGGGAATCCTTACTTTCAAGTGCACTTTTTAAATGATTTTATCTAATTGGAATTTTCTTCATAATAGCCATTGTAATTTTAGATTATAATTTCCTTGAGGGCTGGCAGCAGTTTGGTAAGACCTTAGCCATAAATGGGTTTAGCTCACATTCCTGTCCAGCCATGTTGTGGAGCTTCCAACCCGACAGTTACCAAGCCAATTTTTAGGACATAAAATTTTTAGATTGACTTTTAGTAAGATTTTGTGGCCTAATTTTCTATTTTGCTGGACCAATACCACAACATCCTATATTAAATATCCATTATACTTTGGTATCTAGTAGGGTAAATACTCCCCATGATTATTATTATTGTTATGTTATTGGAAGTCATATACTTTATCAGCTCATGTGCTCATTGTTTAAAAAACAATATTTGGGCGCTAGTCTTATCTTTTCCAGATTAATTTTAGAATCAGCTTGTCAAATAGTTTTTTTAAGTGGCTTTATTGAGATGTCATTCACACAATTCATTATTTAAAGTGTACAGTTCCGTGATTTTTAATATATTCACAGTTGTGTAGCCACCACCACATCTAATTTTAGAACATTTTTATCACCCCAAAAGGAAACCCATACCTATTAGCAGTTATTCCCCATTACCTGGCCCTAGGCAACCACTAATCTCTCCGCTTTATAGACCTGAGTATTTTGTATAAGTGGAATCATACAATTTGTGGTATTTTGTACTGGCTTCTTTCACATAGCGTGTTTTAAAGGTTCATCCATGTTGTAGCATGTGTCAGTACTCATTCCTTCTTGCTGCTGAATAAAATTCCATCCTGTAGTGTATTTGTTACCTGGGGCTACAATAATAAACTGGGTGGCTTAAAATAACAGGACTGTATTCTCTCACAGTTCTGGAGGCTACAGAGTCCAAAATCAAGTTGTCAGCGGAGGAGTACCATCTCTCGGAGGGCTTTAGCGGGGATTCCTTTTTGCCTCTTCCTAGCTACTGGTGGTTACTGGCAATCCTTGGCGTTCCTTGTTTTGCATCTGCTTAACTCCCAACTTCTGTCTCTGTCTTCACATTGTAATTCTCTCCGTGGGAGTCTGTCTCTGTGTCTCTTCTCCCATTCATGTAGGACACCAGTTATGTTGGATTAAAGGCCCACTCTACTCTAGGATGACTTCATTTTAACTTGATTACTTGTACAGAGACCTTATTTCCAAATAAGGCCACATTCACAGGTACCGGAGGTTAGAATTTCAGCATGTCTTTTGGGTGGACACAATACAACCTATAACATCATGGGTACGCTATATTTTATCCATCAGCTGATGAACATTTGGGTTGTTTCCACTTTTTGGGTATTATGAATAATGGTGCTGTGAACTTTTGTGCAGACATATGTTTTCATTCTTTTTGGATATATATCCCTAGGAGTGGAATTGTTGGGTCGTGGCAACTGTTTAATCACCTGAGGAACTGCTGAAGGGTTTTCCAAA